TCCCTTGAAAGAATCCAGACACATGCCACATTAATATCTTCAGACCAAAGTTGACCTTGAGTAACTGAACCATGGAAAGAGAAACCAAGGATAAGGGAGGACCAATGCCTCTTCACAAAGGATCCCAGGGCCCTCATCCGCCGTATCCAGCTGGAAGTTATTTTTCCCTTATTCAAACACCATAGCATTTGTGCATTTTGGTGGCACTTGTCATTTTTGACCTTGTACTACACACTGGAAATGGGTAAATGTCTTACCCTCTGCTCATCCCTAGAGTCAGAGACCTCCGTGTTCTTCACTGGGCACATAAGAAGTGCTTAGTTTAATGTTTATGCTATTAAAAAATAAAATTAACAATACAGAAGGAATGCTCTAGACCAAAAGAAGCTGGAAAGTCAAAGCAAACCAAGATAATGTCCAAAACCAAACTCAATCATAATCTGGGGAGGAATGAACCCAGTGATGTACTTGTGGGAAGAACTGGAGAAATTTGAGTATGGACTACATAAGAAATGATACGGAATTATTTTCCATTTGATTAAGTGAGAATATGGCATTGTGGAGACCGTCCTTATTTCTAGGAGATACACACTGAAGTATTTAAGGGTGAGGTTTCATAATATCTGCTATTTATTCACAATTGCTATAGCCAAAGATGATGGACAAGAGAGTGAGAGCAAGAGGAGAGTGAGATGGAGGGACAGGAGCAAAGGGAGAGAGGGACAAAGCAAGTTGGCCAAGTGCTAACAGTTGTTTCATTTAGATATGAGTGTGTGTTTATTATGCTTTGTACTTACCTGTATGTTTGACAGTTTTCATAACAGAAAAATACGGAGTAATGCCTATTGTTGAATTGAACTAAAAGAAGAGTTATGGCCTCTCCCTGTTGGAACTTCTCTCTGGGGCTCTGAATACTGGCTCAGGACCCCTACCTAACACCTCAGTGCCAGGGAACCATCTTGGCTCAGAATAAGCGAGTTCCTCATATCCAGTGACATCTAATCCCTCTCACAGTGGGACATGGAGAAGGCATTTGATCCTGAAGGTTATGTGCCCACTGATGCTGACTTCATGCCCTGGCAGAGAGCGGGCCTGGGAATGCTGCTGCCTGGCTGGGAGCCCCTGTGTCCATGCTGTGGAGCCAGACATCAAACAGGGAAAATAGCTAGGGAAGAAGCTGCCAGGAAGGGCAAAGTGGGCTCCATTCGGTGCTTCCCAAATGGGCCTGCATTCTTGAGACACAATACATTTTTTTTTTTGCAGCTCATGGGGATAAATGCAGCCCTCTGCTCTGCCTGGGGATTAGCTATGGCTGTGGAATGGCTCAAAGGACAAGGGCTCCTTCTGTTCCCAAAAGGCAGCTAATAATATACCAATAGGTCATCTGTCCCCTTTTATCAAAGGGAGAATTCCACACCAGGAGAGTATCAGTTTGCTCCTGAAGCTGCTTCTTGAAGTAGCAAGAAGTTCTCTTCTTCAGGATTTTCTCTTGGGATAGACATCTTTTAAAAAAATAATAATAAGGTAAAAATGTATGACTATCTCTTTATCTCATCACATGACAATAAAACATATTCAGTATAATCTATTCATGATTATTATGAAGAAAGCCACTCATACTGGGATATAATACCTTCAGGAAGAAAAGAAAATTTATATTTGTCAAACATCAATGTGCCAAATGCAGCATGGTGGGCCTGAGATTTGAATATCCTATTGAACACACATAACTAGTCTGTGAGGCAGGTGTATCCTCCCCATTTCACAGATGAGGAAACTGAGTAGAATAGTGCTCAGCAGTGGGGGAGCTGGGAGCCACAAGCAGACTCTGTTTTTTCTGCCAAAACCTACAGCCACTGCCACTGTGTGGTTCTCCCCTCTCCTACAGATGATTTCCCAAATGACCGGATCTTTGATTCCTGACATCTAGTTTATATATATATATATATATATATATATATATATATATATATATATATATATATATATATATATATATTTTATACTGCAGTTGTCTTCACTTCTTTCTTCCTCATGATGTCTTCTATAGAGTTGAGTTCCATCCCTGATGCTTCTCTTTGTGGCTCTGGAAGTTTCCTCCCTCTCCCCATCCTCCATTTTCTCACAGAAGAAAAGTGATCTAAGATCTTCCAGCGGAACATTCTGTTCTATGTCTCTGCCATGTTTTCTCCTAGTTTCCCTTACATCTGCATGCTGAGGGTAAGAAATTTGATAGAAGGAAGAAAGGATGGGTAATTTTGGAAAAGCTGGGATGGGAAGCCACCAGCATTTAAAGTTTGCACTAGGTTCAGTAACATGACATGGGTTCTGTCTTACAAGAAACTCAGAAGCACAGGTTATTTCTTAGACTCCTGGAGTATGGATGTAGTTAAATGGATAGATGAACTGGTAAACACACAGGAAAAAGCAGAATTAGCCCATATTTCATGTCCATAACGTCTTGCCCAACAAATCTGGGTGTTAAAGAAGGAACTGCAGACCCCCACCCTCCAAGCATCCCATGGCCTGCCCTGAGTAACTCACTGCCCAAGATATAGACAGGGCCCCTTGCACTGTCCCTTGGCTGAATGGGGCTTGTTAACACTGCTACTCTCCTAGGTGACATCTACCTGTCCCATGGCTGTCCTGACTAGGTCTCCCAAAGGGGCAGGCAGTCAATAGCCTGATAACTAGGGTTGATGTGTCCCTGGAAAGGCAGGACAGAGCTCAGGAGACAGCTTCCATCCAGGACATAGATGGACCTTAAGAAGTGACAGTGCTAGAGAGGCACAGCTATTTGAAATAAAATTGGAGAAAGAGTGGTGGGTGAGATGGGGCCAGCCCTTCTTACTCCCTTGGCAACCACTCATCTTGCCCGGTGTTTACAGAACTGGCATTTGATAACCATGCACTGCTTTGATCTGAAATTGCGTAAATCTTGGAAGGGAGTCTATATAGTTCACCTGACTCATCATTTACAATATAATCTATTCAGGAGAAAGCCCGAATTTTCCATTTCCTTTGTGTCTTCTTGAAGTACTCTGGATAGGAGCCAAGAATACAGAGGGTGTTTAATAAATGCCCCCTCACCACGAGGACTACTGTCCTGCTTACCCTTCCCACCCGCCGCTCTTTGAGAAGCCTGTACATCTGAACTGGATATGGGTGCTGTGGGAGGGGACAGTCGTTTTTTGAAGTGGGACATGTTCTTTTTAGAACGGACAACTATGGGATGCTCATGCAGCACCCTCCCAAAGACTCAGTTGGAAAATAAATAAAAAGTAGAGTGGGAATGGAGACAAGCTTCAAATATATCCTTATTCTTTTCTTAAGGCTTGATTTTTCCAATCCTGATTTAGAAATGACCACATTTGTTAGACAGCCGTCCAGCTCCCCCTCCTCTGCAGGCCACCACCTTCCCCCACGACCTCCCATCCAGGCCAGCAGCTGGTCTTTGCTACTCGGTAATATATCTCAGTAACAACGGGCCCTTAAGCAGCTGTCACTGTGAATACTGGCTGATGGCATAGTTCCCTGTCATTAATTTACTTGTTGGTCCTACAAGAGCTTAAGAAAGGATTTAGTTAATAATGATACTAATGAGACAGACAGTTACAGGGTGAAAAAGAAGAGGAGGGAGAAGAGGAAAAGGGGAAGAAGCGGGAATTATTATTATTATCTATGATTGTTATTATTCCTGGCATAAGTTTTACAATCACACAGTTCTGCTGCACCCTATGTAGTGACAAAAATTTCTGTGAAATCCTCCAAGAGGATTTCAACTTTTTCATCCTCTATTATATTTGTTTTTCCTTACGATGAGATTCCTAATCAAACTGCCTGGTTGCATGTCCCCTCTTCCCATGAGGTGAGGGAAACTAACTGCTCAGGGAGGTGACAACTGAGAAAGGGAGCTAGGGGCCTCCCCAGGGAGGCTGCTCCCTTGCATCCAGTGGGGGAAGCACCAACCCCAAGTTTAGAGAAAGGCATCTCAAACTCCCAACTTTCTACAGTTGGAAAATGGTCATGGATCCTGCTCATTTCTATATATACCTTTCCCTTGGCAACAACCAAAAATACGTGTGGAAGGAGCTTGTTCTCAGCTTGTGGCGTCGGTCATTCTCTTTCCAAATATAGAGAAAGAATGAGCTGAGGGGGTTAGTGATGGCCTATAAAAGCCCAAGGGAGCAGCCGCCCCTCTGTGGCTCCTCTCTCGTGGGCGTGGGTGGAGGTAAGTCCCAACACTCCTCTCTCATGCCTCCTCTCAGCCCCCTGCTCCTTGGAGGACACTAACCTGGCAAAGGTCCATTGCTCTGTGCTGTGGCCCTGCCTGGCTTTTATATGGTGGCCCTCACTTTTCCTCCCCAGTGTTTCCACAGAATTGTTTAGATGTAGAGTTAAATCTCCCTGGGTCCAAATGCTTAGCCATGCTCTGCCTCCAACACCTCACCAAAGTTGGGGCTCTCTCCTCCTCCCATTCTTCCTGTCCTCCTCGAGTGCCTTCGTGGGCAGGATCCCCATGGACCCCCGTGAGTCTGTCCATGGGCTGATGTTCTCCTGTTGCCTCTCTGATAGAGGAACTGGGCCAGTGTCTTCCCTACTTGGGCTGTACACCTGTCAAGCGTCTCTTCCCTGAGGATCGCACTATGACCACCAGGTGTAAATAAGCCAATTTCAGAGATTTCTTCCATTTGCAGATAACAAGGAAGCCTGTTACTACAAGCATTTTATCAAGGGCTCTGTCCCAATTCCTGCTTCTAAATGGAAGACATTGCAGACTGAAGAAGGTGCCAGAATGAACTAGGGGAGCTGGACTGCTAGATAGTGGGGGCTTTCCTTCCTCAATGGCCTCCTTGTGGGTCATCCCTATCCATTCCTCCAGCTCACCTCTGGGCTAATGCTTTCTTTTCTTTTTTAATTTCTTGTCCTTTATTCTTAGTAGTTAACTCCCATCAAGAGCTGATTCCAAACAGAACCATACCAGGCAGTCCCAACCGTACCTAAGCTCCTCTGTGTGTGCACTGTCACAGGTCCATAGTTCCACGGCTGCTGCTGCCTTCTGCTGTCCTCCTGCGGGTGTGACTCTCAGGTAAGAATCAGCCATGTCTCTTGGCTACTGAAAGTTTCTGGGTGGTTCCAGGTTACCCATTACTCCCTCTTCCCAGTGGCCCTCTGAAGCTACAAAGCTTAGGCAGGAGAGATGAGGTACAGAGTCCAGAAAGGTGGCAGCACTGTGACCTTCCACACAGGGGCTGTAGGCAAAGACTCACTTCTATTCTTAGCCACTGAAGGAGCTGCACACTCTCTTTGACGAATGACTTTGTTTCTCCATGGTGTTTATTTTTAAATATTCCCTCTGCCACACGCGGGTATTTCAGAAGAGGAAAATAAGGTCTAGAGAGTAGTGCTCATCTCTAGGACCCGTTCAGTAAATGGAGAGAACTAAGTAGTTGGGATTAAATAAGGTCTATGACTTTTGCATGCAGTAGCTACTCAATAAATATGTGCCAATTTGATTTTCCCAGCCTAAAGGCTTTGAGTGGAGCTCCATCAGGCATGAAGACAGCCTTGTTCTTGGGGGAATCCCATTTGAGGGTCAGGTGGGGAGCTGCCTGGTGCCTGGACCTGGAGGCAGCTGAGCCATGGGTGGATTTGCCTTGCAGCTGACATCATGAGTAGTGACTCTGAAATGGAAGTGTTCGGCGTTGCCGCTCCTTTCCTCCGGAAGTCAGAAAAGGAGAGGATCGAGGCTCAGAACCAACCTTTTGATGCCAAAACCTACTGCTTTGTGGTTGATTCAAAGTACGAATATGCCAAAGGCAAAATTAAGAGTACCCAAGACGGGAAGGTCACTGTGGAAACTGATGACCACCGGGTAAGACTTGTACACTCCCTTTGTGGGCAACTGGCCTTCTGTTCCTCATGTTACCTTGAATATGCCCCCATCCTACCTCCAGCCACTTCCAGATGAGGCTCTGGGATGCCTCATAGGAAATGGATTTAGACTTCATGGGTGTCCTCAGAGAAAGCAAGGCAGTACTGGCCTCAGGTTGCAGGGTGGGAAAAGAGTCCCACTTGTGGTAGATCAAAGCAATTAGCTTTCAGGTGCTTTTATCAATGTTCACGTGCTCTGGGCCAGAGGGGATCAGCTTCATGTGTCTCAAGGGTATGGAGTTGGGAGTCCAATACTAGGAGGAACGCTTTTAGAATATTCTCCTGTGGCAGTCTAGGTTTCTCTCTAATTCTAGCAATGGCCATCTAACAGAGGACATACGGAAAATACATAAGGGATGCTAGTGGATCATAAGCTCAATATGAACTAGCTGCCTGCCTGGATCAGAAATGCGATGAGCATTGTGGTTCACTATAATCTGTTCCAAGCCACTGTGGGAATGAATGCTGGGAGAAATTCTGGATTTGGACGTTCTATTTTCTGTAATCTTGAACATAAGAATCTGCAAATGTTCCAAGAAAAGTCAAAGAGTAAGAGACAGATAGAAGAGGGGTGAGGGAGGGAGAAGAAAGGAAGGAGAGAGGAAAAATAAAATCCGAGAGACAAGTAAAGGCGATGACGTCATTGAGTTGGATGAAGGAAAAGGGCATTGAAATTTATCCTCTAGTGCTACCAGGCATTGAAGTCCCCAAAGGTGGCTGTCTACATATTTCGGATAAAGAAGCTAAGAATGGGCTTATAAAACGGGAACATGAGGAGCTAGATTTCATGAATGATAATCTAGGACCATCTAAGAAGCCTTGTACGAGGAGGATGGATGGTCCTGAATGGTGTGGATGAATTCCTGCTCGGAGGCAGGGAAAAGGCAGGCTTCCACTCACACTGTCTGGAGACAGGAGCAGGAAAACTGGCCATTTTCAGAGGGTGGTCACATAAAGAAAGAAGGTAGGGGCAGGATGAGGAGAGGAAGACAGCTCGCGCCATGGGTGCCTGAGGCTCTGCCCCCCTGAAGCCTGAGGGCTTTGGGGAAGAGGTTCTGCTTTCTGAGAGGAGTGCAAAGACATTACAGGGCATTTGCCTTGTGGTCCCCTCCCCCAGCTCATAATCCTCTGTTTGCAGAAGGGCCTGGAGGGGTAAAGTGGGGCTGCAGGACTTTTATGAGCATGTGCAGGGAGGGTGGTAAAGGGGGAAAGGTGTGGGGTCAGGGGGCTGGACAGCTGCCTTCAGAGCACTCCAAATCTTGGCTAACTCAGAGGCCACTGACCTGGGGATCCAATGCCACCTCCCTCTCTGTCTTCTCTCCCTGCCTCAGGACTGCCCTATGGACATGCCATTTTTCTCTGAGTAGGTAGGAAAACTCCCCTCAGTTGCTGGAGCTAGGTTTTGGCATAGTGAGCACTGCAGAGCTGAACGGTTCCTGTTGGCTCCCACTCCTGCCCTCAGTCCCCACATCCTGCACAGAGATCCTCTAGTCTCATTTCTGTTATTGTTCCCTCACTCCAGGCCCATCAAAGCAGAAAAGGGAAAAAGTCTTCAAGTAACAGAAACAAAGCATATTCTACCATCAGCATCATAGCCGCCCAGTAGCCTTGTCTTCCTTTGCTGTCACTCAGGTGTTCCCCAATGTCCCTCCTGCTGTCTCTACGCCAGTCTTTATAGGAGATGGACACCTGCAGCAGCAATGCACAAACAATATTAAGCACCAGAACTCTTCCTCTTTCAGACCCTGGTGGTGAAACCGGAGGATGTGTATGCAATGAACCCCCCCAAGTTTGACAAGATCGAGGACATGGCCATGCTCACTCACCTGAATGAGCCTGCAGTGCTGTACAACCTTAAGGACCGCTACACGTCCTGGATGATCTATGTCAGTGGTGATGGGCGTCGTGGCTTTCCTGGGACATTTGACATGAGGGGAAGAGGGAACGGGAGGTGGAGACATTTGTGTGGGTGACAAGATCTTGAAAGATTTGTGTTTGACCAGCTGTTGAGGGGAAATGAAAAAAAAAGATGAGAAAGCAAGAGATGAAGGGGGTAGGAAGAAGAGGGGTTGTTGGCAGGAAGGTGGGGAGGAAGACAGAGAGCTGGCAGAGCAGGAGAGATGAGGCCATGGTGGGATTGGCATTGTCACTTTCTGCATGAGGTCCAGCCACCCTCCTCCCTGAGACTCAGTTACCTCATCTATAAGTAGAAGCCATGTCTTCTCTCCATTATGAGTTTATCAGAAAGAAACACAAATAACAACAAAGGCAAAAGTTTTTAATATACATACACATGGATACATACGTATATGGTTTCCCCCACAGACCTACTCGGGACTCTTCTGTGTCACCGTCAACCCCTACAAGCGGCTGCCGGTGTACAACCCTGAGGTGGTGAATGGCTACCGGGGCAAAAAGCGCCAGGAGGCCCCGCCCCACATCTTCTCCATCTCGGACAACGCCTATCAGTTCATGCTGACTGGTGAGCACCAGAGGAAGGGGCAGGAGGGCGAAGCCTGCACTGGACAGGCTCAGGGCAGCTGTCCCTCAGTCCTGGACCTGCCCCCTCTGGTGTCCAGCACAAGGACGGGAGGGGGAGGAGTGCAAAGAGGTCAGACCATTTAGGGCCTTGCAGGCCAGGACACGTTTACAAGAACTGGTTAATATAAGGGAAGAAACAAACAAAGGAAATGCAGAGAGATAGGAGAAACTGCTCACAGCAACACAGGTTTATTCCAGACAAACTTGCAGAGGGGGGTTCTGGCAGAAGCTGACACCCGTCTTCCACTTAAAGCCTCAGGAAGTTATAGGGGAGGGAAGGGGTGGGGGAAATTTTGCAGTTTGGCCACTGCTCCACTGGAGTGGAGCAACAATGAGAGGTAAACAGGGAATGTGACAGAATAACTGGGGGCCAGGTGTCCAGGTTGTCAGAGAAGGGTTCTTGTGATCACCATCATTCTTTGTGCTGGCCACTGTTCCATGTCAAACTGGATGTTTCTTAAGATTTCAGTTCCAGGGCACAATTCTCATCATAGGATATTATTGTCTGGGGTTTAGATCAGGCTGACTGTTGTTCTGGGTCACAGTAAACACAGGGTGACAGTTATTCTAAGGTGGAGGATATGTTTCAAAATGGCATTGCCTAAATCAAGTTCTCCCTAACTTAAACCACATGAAACTGACATTGCACAATTTAACGGACTGCTTGAGAGATAGATGGAATTAGGGAGCTCTTTTTTATATTGCCATCAACTCTGATTTATTTTTCCTTTGGCAGATCGTGAAAACCAGTCCATTCTGATCACGTAAGTATTCAAGGAATAGACTGGTTTCATAGCTGTGGCCAAAGGTGTTACTTGCTTTATTCTGTTCATTAAAAAGTGTTTGGAGCAAAGTCTACAGTGAACAGATAGGTTTGGGATGGGCACAAAAGCATGCATAAGACCCCGGGGCTCTGTCTCTCTTTAGTAGTCTCTCAGGTTTGTTTGATAGGTGTATATTAGATGTGGTTCAGGCTGTCCAGATGAGTGACAACTGTTTATACATTTAACAGGACTTATTTCTTCTTCTTTTTTCTCCTTTCTCTGTCTTTCGATCGCCCTGAATAGCGGAGAATCCGGGGCAGGAAAGACTGTGAACACCAAACGGGTCATCCAGTACTTTGCAACAATTGCAGCTACTGGAGACCTCGCCAAGAAGAAGGACTCCAAAATGAAAGTATGGAGGGGAGAAAGGCTTGTTCAGCTTGTACTTCTAACCTCTGTCTTAACTTCAGAATTAGGAGGCTAAGTGTCATCACATTTCCCTCCGCAAGGAAAGGAAGGCAGGCTAGGATATAAAATCTTGAAGGATAAGTGATCATCTTAGACAACCCAGTATGTTAGATCTCACAGGACCAGATTCTGTGATTTCTTCAGAAATAAGGCTTCAAGCCTTAACTAAGAAAGATGAAATTGGGGGCAGCTCAGGATGCCTGTCCTTAAGGGTAGAATCAGATACCAACTGGAGAGAGCAATAGTCCATATTTGCTTTTGAACTCAAATGTGTAGCCACAGTATGAAATGAATACAGACAATCTAAATGAACTGGAGAATCAAGTGTTCAAGTAATGTCCAATCAGGAGACCCAGCTAGTGTCAAATAAGATGGGATGATAAAAGTGCTTTGAGAAGGGCATGCTGCTGATTTGGTTGGTCCTCAAATTGGAAAGT